ATAGTTATTTTTAAGGGTTAATTACAACGACACCCCTTGAGGTTTGTTATATTGACAGCCATATACAATTTAGCCTTTTTTTTTTAACAAAGACACCCCTTAAGTTTGCAAATTTGAACAATGACACCCCAAACATGATGAAAGTACATGTTTACCCTTTGATCATGTAAAATGACCAAATTACCCTCATTCAAAAAATCCCTTCTTCCAAATTTTCCATCTTCCCATTCATTCCCTGTGAGCCCTTCTTCCCCGCCGTCCATCAAGCCACCACAGCCCATAGCCGAGCTCATCATCGTCCCGCCGTCAACCTCATCCGAGCCATCCACAGCCGCAATCTATTACCCTCCTTGAGTCACATATGGTCTATTTGATTATTAGAACCAAAGCCCCAATATTTCAGTTAGTGTAATGTAGATTATTGAGTCAATTTGAAGATAGATGGAGCTAGGGTTTGGGTGAAAAAAAAATTGCAGAAAAGATAACAAGGGTGGTGCGTAGTGTATGGAAGATAACCACCAACATCTGGTAGTATAGTCCCATCTTCAAAAATCCCACCCTCACCTCCCACTCCAACTGGAATGTCGTCCCTGTCCATCATGTAAAGAATGTCATAAATTTGATTAATAGCATGCCTAGCATCAGTCCATGCATTAGTGTTAATAGTTATTGCCTGCACCAAGTTAAGGTAATGTACATATATAAGAGTCTGAAATTATATCACCAGTGTTGTGCATATGATCAAGAGCTATTAGTTACAAGTGAATGTCACTAGAGCTTGTTTCAGTAAACTATATCAAAGAAGAAAAAGAATTAGGAAGCATGATCTCCAAATGTATATATAGTATATCTAAAGTACCAAAAACAATTAAAGTTTGCTTTGAGCGTACTTGCCGTTGTTTGCTTGGAGCATTGAGAGGTTGCTTGAACTCCATCTTTTCCAGCGTATTCCATTCTTGCTGTTGTTTGCTTGGAGCATAGAGAGGTTAAAGAGAGAGAGTACATGGTTTGAAAGAGCTCGCTGCCATCATCCGCAAGCTCACAGCCAAAGCTATTCACAGCCAGCCCATCTCCATGTCGGGGTTCACAAGCTGCCGTCGCCAAAGCCGGATCCGTCTTGCCGGGCACTGCCGCAGTTCATCTACAGCCACAGCCGCAGTCGCAGCTGCCGCTAGTCATCCACGACGATTCAGTTCTACCACCGTTCCGAGCCGAACCAGCCCGTCGCCCACGCCCAGCTATCTGCCGTCCCCATCTCCCCACCATCCGAACTGGCTGCCATCAAAACCAAGCTCGCAATCGCCTCCATCAAAACCAATCTTCTTCTTCATGGCCGACTCCTCCATGGTCGTCGCCTTCTCCACAGCCGCAAGCCGCCTTCGCCATCATCCACGGCTTAGTCCACCGCCACTGCCATCTCGTTGTGAACTAGACCATCACGGCTGAGTCTTCCCCACAGCCCATCGCCAGCACCACCTTGCCCGAACCAGCCCATCCTCACAGTCCGTGCATTTTGGGTGGACAGCTATGGAGCACATTTTTTTGTCAAATATTTATTCATGAGGCTGCATTTGGTCAAGAGGTACGGAAAGAGAAACGACAAAGAGAGAGAGATGAGATGAGAGGGTAATATTTTAGGTGAGGATTAAAATATATTTTAGGGTATATTAGACATTTCTTGTCACTTAAGGCTGTGTTTGACTATGTTTTTTTAAAATGAGGTGTCATTGTTTAAGTTTGCAAATCTAGGGGATGTCTTTGTTCAAAAAGGAGTTAAATTGTATATGACTGTCAATATGGCAAACCTCGAGGTATCGTTGTAATTAATCATATTCTTAAAATAAAAAACTTTAAATATTATTTTTTAATGAGTTAAAAAGAATAATAAAAAATAAAAATAAAAATAAAAAAAGTGGGAAAAAAACCATAGGTATTCAGAAACAAGAGCAGAACTGCTCCAAGTATATGGTTTGGGGTTGAATTTGTCAATTTAGCGTCTTTTGGTGAAAAACCATATGGATTTAAGGGATATGAATGGATTGATTTGTGGATGAAGTGAGGTTGAGTTTGTTGAATTGCAAAGATGTGTTGAACGGTAATGGTGTATTGAGGAAGTGCACTGTGTAAAAGAAAAGATGAACCTTAATTTGGATTTGGAAGAGATCAAAAGAGACCAAGTGAAACTTCTTGATTATGATTGCATCAAGTAGTTGTCAGAGTATCCAAGAGCGAGGAGAGGGTGAAGAGAGAGAAATATATAATACTCTTAATGCAATAATAGAGAAGTGAAAGTTAAAGCCAAACGAGAAGAAAACGGAGAAGGAAAACAATATGCAAAACGCTGCCGTATCTTGGTACAGCACTTCCCGGATACGGCAGAGGGTCCTAGTCCGTGACATGGCCGGTCTGCAGGTTTACTCAATATTTTTGCTCAGGATGACCTCCTCATTTGCGTTGTTGACCGGTTGAACAGTTTTTTTTTTTTAGTTAACCTGGGCTGTTCGGGATGGTACAAACCCTTAGAATCCCTCAACAACTCCACTAATCTCTGAGAATATAAAAGGGCACCTCCTCATCCGGGCCGGGTAAGTCACTACAAGGGCAGCGGAGGCTAGCCACAAAGAATATTAAGCCGGAAGTCAAACCCCAGACCTTAGACTTACTAAACTCTAAAGTTCAACAAATAAATCGCTGGGACATATCCGAAGTGGCTCTTGAGCGGTTGACAAAGTCATTTAGCCCTTCAATAACCATTGGATCATTTTATTTCACGTCAATCGTAGAAGTTTACATACAAATACTAAAAATTAAAATCATTTGTTAATAACCCACTCACTCTTTTTGTTTTTTATTCCTTTCTATCATATTCTTTAGGTGGCGGCCCAAGTTAATAAGCTACGTCCAATCTTCAAACAGTTATTGTGTGCCGACCATCCAATGCATGGTTATTCTTTATTATCAACTATATCTTTCACTAAATTCAACATATACATAATAGATTGTTGTCTAAAAATTGGAACATTTTTAGTACTATATTGGAGAAACAAATTTTCTGAAAACTCTTATGTTATATTTGAAAGTACCGAACGGTTGCTTGGGGTCAATTAGTTCGAAAATTCCAAACTTTATCCCATACATGGGTGGACTGACTGATGTTTGCCGGAAAGTATTGCTGGCCCATTCCCAATTTAATAGAAGTCCTGTGTAGATAGAATGATATTCTTGGATGATTTCTTTCTGCTCTGTAGAGTTCTATGATAGTTAACAATTGCTCTGTATGATTGTTAACAATTGTTTTTCTGTTCTGAAGTCTATGAGGGAAAAGCATGAAAATAATAACAATAATTATGATTAGAAAAAGAAAAAGAAATAGTGTTGTTTTCTCATTATCAAAGCAGAAGATTGATGATTCAAGTCTTAAAAATTATTGTTAATCTTATGTTTGGAAAATTAAAAAAGAAAAAGAAAAAATCAGAGTTCCATCTCAAATAGTCATCCAAGTTTTGAAAAAGAATAAAAATATATCAGACTCTATTTATCACATTATACTGACACTTAAAATTAAAAAAATTTGGGCAAGAAATGAGTCATTCAATACTTAATTTTCCAAATACCCTACTTTGTTGCATTTGATAAAGTCTTGGCTTTCAAAATTTTGTTGCTATCAAGTGGTCATGAAACGTATGCAAGAGGTTAAGTCAACAATGAAGCATTTGTCACTTTAATTAAAACTCATTTGCGTTGCTGAGGGGCTAGACTGTTGACAAAGTCATTTAGCTTCCATTGATTAGCACAATATATTAATAGTCATTGGATTTTTTTATTTCACAATTTAATCAAGGAAAAATGTCTCTATATATATAATCAAATTAAACCCAAAAAACTACTTCAATTTGCATATTTTTACAAACAAAAAGAGAAATCAGATGTGGACATTGTGTAATAGAACCCGAATCGTACTGTCAAAATGCAACAAAATCAGTTATAGCGGTGTGTTTTTTTTTTTTTTTTTTTTTTTTTTCACCTGAACTGCATATATTGCCCAAAATTAGGGGTGCAACTTGAGTTGGGTAATCCAAACCCAACCCGAACCCAGCCCGATTTTTCACGAGTTTGGACAATTATTTTTACAATTAGGGTTAGGCTTGGGTTGAAAAATCTTAGTCCGAATTTAATTAGGATTGGATTTATATTGAAGTGTTAGCAACTTGAGCCAACTCGAACTCGAATTATAATAGTCATGCAAAAGCATACATTTATTATTATTATTAAATATGTATATATATATATATATATATATATATATATATATATATATATCACACAAATAAATAAATTATCCAACCAACGAAAATTCGAGATTTATGTCTCGGAAACTTGTATTGTTTTTCTCACTAATGCTCCGTTTGTTTGGACGTAAAATATTTTTCAGAAAATATTTTTTTATTTTATGGTGTTTGATTGTCGTAAAATATTTAAGAATAAAAAAAATATTAAAATTTAACAAAAATAACTTATCTAATCAATTTTTGGCAAGTTATTTTACATGCCTGCCTGATGGACTCGACCTCAACCTCAACGCAAACCTTTGCTCAACACCAACAAAGTAAAAATAAAAGAATATTTTACCTAAAAAAGAAAAATATTTCTCGAAAAGAATATTTTACGTCCAAACAAACGGACCTTAAATGTGAAATTTTTACTAGCATAAAGCAGAACTAGAAATTATTTATATCTCTTCTTTTCAAATATTAAAAGTTTAGATTTAAATTATATATTGGCAAATACTTTATGTGGTGCAAAAAGTAGTATGAAAATCTTTGTTTTGGAGAAACTACGTGTACAAGAAAGTGGGTGTGTAACCGAGTACAAGAAAGCCAGTGTGTAACCGAGTACTACTCGTGAAATGCATGCCATGGACAACAGTAGTTGCTTCCTATCTATATAAGTCCCGCTAAACTAATCCATCTTTGTACAAGTCCATTAATAGTAATTTACACATGAATGCCATGGACAACACTAGTTGCTTCCTTTTTTCCATCTCATTGCTAGCAAGCTTTTTCATCGTTTGCTTGTCTAGCTCCATCACAAACTTGACAACCGATCAATTTGCTCTTCTTGCCTTCAGAGACCATATCACTCACGACCCTGAAGATGTATTGGCTAGTAATTGGTCCACCACTAGCTCAGTTTGCAATTGGGTTGGTGTCTCGTGTGGTCTTAGGCACCACAGAGTCATAGCCTTGAATCTCTCTCGTATGGGTCTCCAAGGCACCATCGCTCCACACCTTGGAAATCTCTCATTCCTCGCGTCACTCGACATCAGTCACAACAATTTCAATGGCTATGTACCTCAAGAGTTGGCTCGTTTGCATCGATCGAAAGAAATCCGTCTGCAATACAACAACTTCAGTGGAGAGGTGCCATCATGGTTTGGGATCTTACCACAACTACATCAGTTGCATCTGAATAAAAATAGTTTCACAGGTACTATCCCAAAATCACTAGGTAACATCTCCAAGCTAGAATTATTGGATATAAGAAACAATTCTTTGCATGGAAACATTCCGAAAGAGATTGGTAATCTCTCTAAACTAGAAATGCTGCACTTGAGTTTTAACAAGCTCACAGGGTCCATCCCATCTTCGATCTTCAATGTTTCTTCTTTGAAGTCGATTGATTTCACAAACAATAGCATCTCTGGAAGTTTGCCAATGGATATATGCAGCCATCTTCCTAAACTTGAAGGACTTTATCTTTCTCTGAATAACCTTCATGGCCAGATTCCCTCCAATTTATATAAATGCAAGGAGTTCCAATATCTATCATTATCATTCAACAACTTCAGTGGCAACATACCAAGAGAAATTGGCAACTTGACTATGCTCAAGGGGTTATATCTTGGTATAAACAACTTGAAAGGTATGATTTTAACCTCACATCCAACTCATACATTATATCATGTAATTATGTATTCATTACAAGCATACTAATATAATAAGAGAGAAAATTATATATGTATTGCTTTTGATGAATTTTCAGGTGTCATTCCATCAGAAATCGGAAATCTTCAACGCCTGGAAGTAATGAACTTAATCAATAGCTCTCTAACAGGGTCCATACCATCTTCAATCTTCAACATTTCTTCTTTGAGAATAATTGATTTAACATACAATAGCCTGTCTGGAAGTTTGCCTATAGACATGTGCAGCCACCATCCAAAACTTGGAGGACTTTATCTTTCTTCGAATCAGCTTAACGGGCAAATTCCATCCAATTTATGCAAATGCAGGGAGCTCCAAATTTTATCATTGTCATTGAATGGCTTTAATGGCAGCATACCTAGAGAAATTGGCAACCTAACTATGCTCAAGGAGTTATATCTTGGTCAAAACAACTTGAAAGGTGCGATTTCAACCTCACATCTAACTCATGAGTTAGTAGTTTCGATATAGTATACCTTTTGTGGAGAAGAAATTCCATATGCAGAATGCAAAATTGACAAACCTCCATTGCTAGCTAATTATACATTCAACCCTATCATGCATAACACTAGCAAAATAGGTCTTGTAAGTTTTTTTTTTTCACTGAGAAAAAAAAAAAAAACAAAACAAAAGGGATGTTCCAAATTTGCCAATAAGTATCAAAACATGGTATTCATATCATCTGCACCCAGAACTTAATCATATCATGTAATTATGTATTCATTACAAGCATATACTGATATAATAAGATAGAAAATTATATACGTGTTGCTTTTGATGAATTTGCAGGTGTATTCCCATCAGAAATAGGTAATCTTCAACGTCTGGAAGTAATGAGCTTAATCAATAGCTCTCTAACGGGGTCCATACCATCTTCAATATTCAACATTTCTTCTTTGAGAATAATTGATTTGACAGACAATAGCCTGTCTAGAAGTTTGCCTATAGACATGTGCAGCCACCTTCCTAAACTTGGAGGACTTCATCTTTCTTCAAATCAGCTTAACGGGCAAATTCCATCCAATTTATGCAAATGCAGGGAGCTCCAAATTTTATCATTGTCATTGAATGGCTTTAATGGCAGCATACCTAGAGAAATTGGCAACCTAACTATGCTCAAGGAGTTATATCTTGGTAGAAACAACTTGAAAGGTATGCTTTTAAGTTCACATCTAAGTCACGAGTTAGTAGTTTCAATATATACCTTTTGTGGAGAAGAAATTCCTTAAGCAGAAGTGAAAATTGATAAACTTGTGTAGGAGCTATTCTCCCATACTAGCTAATTGTTCAACCATAGCATTCAGAACACTAGCTAAATATGTCTTAGAAGTCTTTTATTTTCTTTTTTATTTTCAATGAGCGCATATGTGAGGATGTTGTTTTATTATTTACTTATTTATGTCGGATGTTCTAAATATACTTGAGCATCAAAACAAGGTATTCATATGATCATCATAACCCACCTAGTACTCTTGTGCTTGGAAACACAAATACGGACATGGACACAGGTACAATATAGTACGAACATGGCTATATGACAAATCTTTAAAAAATAAGCCATAGATACAGCATTGATACGTCAAAAGAAATATATATATAATATTATTGAATATAATAATTGCTTTTACTCATTTTATCCATATAATCATTAATGAAATCATTATAAATTTGGAACTTAGAGCTAGATCTTTGTTATTTTAGTGAATTTTATACTATTATTTTGTAATTAACCTATAATATATTTTAAGTTGCACTTATTTTCATCTTTTAAAGAAAATAATTACAAAATCATCCCGCCGTGTTTTGAAAGTGTCCAAAACATGTCATTGCCTTGTCCATGTTGTGTCCCAATTGTATCCAACCTGAAAAATATTTCAACATACTTTTAGTTGTGTCTGTGTGTCCGATACCGCAATAACACCCCTAGGTGAAGTGTCTGCTTCTTAGCTCTTATGTGACTAATTATTGTTATTACACAATTATATAGTCATTACAAGCATACTTGTAGAACAAGGAAAAATTTATATATGTGTTGCTTCTGACAACTTTTCAGGTGTTATTCCATCAGAGATAGGTAATCTTCAAAGTTTGGAAGTAATGAACTTAATCGATAGCTCTCTAACAGGGTTCATCCCATCTTCAATCTTCAACATTTCTTCTCTGAGAAAAATTAATTTCTCAAACAATAACCTGTCTGGAAGTTTGCCTATAGATATGTGCAACCATCTCCCTAAACTTGGTGGACTTTATCTTTCTCGGAATCAGCTTAACGGGCAAATTCCATCTAATTTATACAAATGCAGGGAGCTCCAAGGTTTATCATTGTCAATCAACAGCTTTAATGGCTGCATACCAAGAGAAATTGGCAACTTGACCATCCTCAAGGAATTATATCTTAATGAAAACAACTTGGAAGGTATAATTTAAGTTCCCATCTAACTCAGTAGCTAGTTTTGATATATACTTTCTTGTTATATATAAAATGTGTTCTATATTTACTTATAAGTATCAAAACTGCGAGTTGCATGATTTGCCAGACTGGTGTGAAAAGTTTAATCCTAGATGAAAGAACTAGAGGAGGTGATTAGGTTAAGATTTCTCTTTTGATTTATTTGTAATTAGATTATTTTGATTTTACCGAATTTAAACTAAACCAACACACAAAGCAATACAAATAATGCAAGAAAATTAAATAAAGTTGGGAATTTAAATATAATGACTTGTAAACATCATATTTGAGAATAAGTTGATACAAGTATAATAAAATGTTAACAATAAATATATAAAAGTAGTTAGACATTTGATTTTTTCTAATATTTGTGGTTTGTACTACTTCCCAATTCTATCATATTCAATTGATCCCTTGTATAAAAGTCTACCTTAATTTATACTACTACTAATTATTTATATTAACTAAAAATGAACATCATATAATTTCTTGTTTCATCATACTTTATATATATTACAATCTCTTAGGTCCAAATAACCAATTCAATCGACAATTATTGTTCCACACAACAATAGTTGCACCATGTGTGGGAATTGTGGATAACTCATAAATAAATACCTTTTCAATTCTTAAAGCTTAATGAATAATTTGTAAAACTCTTAAAGCTTGATGAATAATGCCAGGGTGTCATGTTGTGAATGGCAGGTACTTTACCAGAAGAGATTGGTAACCTTAATCTTGAGAGACTTAATGTCTTTGGAAACAGCTTAATTGGAACCATTCCATTCAAAATGTTCAATGTGTCAACAATGAAAATCCTTAACCTAGGATCTAATCACTTTAGAGGAAATCTTCCTTCTGACATGGGGTTTTGGCTTCCGAATCTTGAAGAGCTTTATCTAATCATGAATAAACTCAGTGGAACAATCCCGAGCTCTATCTCTAATGCTTCTAAGCTTACTATCATTAGCATGAGCATGAACTCTTTGACTGGATCTATACCCAATACGCTTGGTAGTTTAAGACTCTTGCGGAAGCTCTTCCTTCATACAAATAGTTTGACCAGGGAATCTTCTACTCCGGCATTGAGAATTTTCTCTTATTTAACAAATTACAGACAATTGGAGGTATTGCGCATATCATTAAATCCACTCAACGGCATTCTTCCAATTTCATTTGGGAATTTTTCTACTAGACTACAAGTGTTTGACGCATTTGGATGCAAAATTAAGGGCAAAATTCCCAGTGGAATCGGAAATTTGAGCAACTTGGTAATCTTGCGCATAGGAAGGAACCACTTGAGTGGACCTATTCCAAAAACAATAGATAGATTACAAAATCTCGTACGTTTGCATCTTCAAAATAATAGATTGGAAGGACACATCCCAGGTGAACTCTGTCGGTTAGGAAAATTGGGAGATTTTTCTGTTAGTGATAATAAGCTGGATGGACAGATTCCAACATGCTTGGGTGACCTTAAATCTCTAAGATGGCTCTACCTTGATTCCAACAGATTGACTTCTATGGTACCGTCAAACTTGTGGAGCCTTGAAGACCTATTGAGTCTCAACCTATCCTCAAACTTTCTAACTAGTAACCTACCTTTATATATCGGAAACTTGAAGGTCATAACACTAATTGACTTGTCAAGGAATCAGCTATCAGGTATCATCCCAAGTACCATCGGAGGAGCTCAATCGTTAGTTTCTCTTTCATTGTCCGACAATGAAATACAAGGACCCATTCCTCAATCATTGGGCAACCTCATAAGCTTGGAATTATTGGATCTATCTCGTAACAATTTGTCCGGAAAAATTCCCAAGTCCTTAGAAGAACTCAGGTATCTCCAATATTTGAATGTGTCTTTCAATAGACTGCAAGGAGAAATTCCTAGTGGAGGACATTTCACAAACTTTACAACTCGGTCGTTTATGCATAATGATGCACTTTGTGGTGAACCCCGACTGCAAGTTTCCCCATGCAAAACCAACAAAAACGGGCGATTGATATCAAAAATTGTATCCCTGCTGAAATATATTTTACCCTCTATTGCATTATCAATTCTTGTTTCGACCCTCATAGTTTTGTTGATAGGATATCGAAAACAAAAGATCAAATTGCAGACTATGGCAGATTTGTCACCTCGAGCATGGAGAAAGTTTTCGTATCAAGAACTTTTACGAGCAACAGAAGCATTAAGTGAAACCAACCTAATTGGCAAGGGAAGTTATGGTTCGGTATATAAAGGAATGCTTTCTGATGGGATGAATATTGCAGTAAAGGTTTTCAATTTGCAGTTAGAAGGAGCTTTCAAGAGTTTTGATGTCGAGTGCGAAGTGTTGCGCAACACTCGGCATCGCAATCTAATTAAAATCATGAGCAGTTGCTGCAACATGGATTTCAAAGCATTGGTACTAGAGTACATGCCTAATGGGAGCCTCGAGAACTGGTTGTATTCTCACAACTATTGTTTGGACTTCCTACAACGGTTAAATATAATGATAGATGTTGCATCAGCATTGAAACATTTACATCATGGTCATACAACACCTATTATTCACTGTGATTTAAAACCAAGTAATGTCCTTCTTGATGAAGACATGATTGCACATGTTGCTGATTTTGGGATTGCAAAACTCTTAGGTGATGGGGATCTTATGGTTCAAACCATGACTTTGGCAACCATCGGGTATATGGCACCAGGTGATGTTCTATGTTCCATCTTAATTCATTTTTCAGCTTTTCCTATTTATTTTATGAACTTGCATTGTCCTTTTTCTTGTTTAGAATATAATATTTATTTTTATTATTATTTTTTTTTCCCAATTTTTTTCCAACAAGGTAAAGTCAATCTAGTTTCATTGTTAAGTTTCTAATTAATGTTGATGTGGTGCGTAGAGTATGGAATTGAAGGAAGAGTATCAACAAGATGTGATGTCCATAGTTATGGTGTCTTGTTGATGGAAACGTTTACAAGGAAGAAGCCGACTGCTGAAATGTTTGCGGGAGAGCTAAGCTTGAAGCGTTGGGTGAACAAAGCATTAGAGGGTTCGATAATTGAAATTGTTGACACCAATCTGATAGGAAGAGATGATGAAAATTTCTTTGTTAAGGTGGAATGTGTATTATCTATTTTTCGTTTGGCCATGGATTGTTCAAATGATTCAGCAGAGGGAAGGATCAATATGATTGATGCTTTGGCTAGACTCAAGAAAATCAAAACCTCTTTTCTAGCAAATTTTGGTAGCGGCTTGAAAGATGGAAGCAATTTTGATTAACATGTATCATTTTTAGTAGTAATTTGTACTTACTCATATTTTTTCTCTATAATAATTTATGTCCACTTTGAAACAATTAATTTTTCTTGTCAAAATGTGCATCCTGAATTTAAACTCATTTCTTGGTCAATTGTTTTTCATTAGTGACTTCCTGAAATTGCCTCATGTCTGGTGATAGTGGTAGACACCTGACACCAAAATGCAGAAAATACCCCCCAAGAATTTGTTGGGTTGGTTACCTCCTATGTGGAGAGCCCAATAAGTCTCATATGGTTCAACCCACTTGGATGTACAAAACCCATGTGGAAGCCCGTATATATATTCTCCTTTAGTGGAGATGTAGGGTAATGAGAAAAAAGAGATTGTTGTTTAAACAATAGAAGTAGGAGGCAGCGTATTACTGATTTGGTTTTCTCTTCATCGTGAGAGAAGAGGGAGAGATTGTGGAAGACCATAGCCCACAACTCTCTGCAAATCAGTTGGCCATTAAACTCCAATCAAAGTGTAGCTTCAGGGGGAGATTGCTAGCATTGAGAAGATCATCCTCTTCGGGCAGGTTATCCATTTATCTCTATTTTACATTCTGCTCTACACTGGAGGAGATTACTTATCTCTGTGGTTGATATCCACCCTTTTCTGGGTGACGTTTCATTCTGCTAATGTTGCTGTTATCCGAGGGTTTTGATTTCCCTTGAAGAATCTCTGATTTGTTAGCCTCTAGTTCAACCTAGAGAAGACCAGTTGTAACCCATTATTATTGTTGATAGTGAAAGATTATTCGGAGTTGGCCCGTGGTTTTTTACTCTTCAATCTAAAGGGTTTTCCACGTATATCCTAGTGTTCATTGTGTGATTGATTTTATTGATTGTTTCCTATCTATGTTCTAATATTTGTTAATCATGGATGTTTCCAAAGTGAGGGGAAAGTTCCAGTTCTAGGTATTCCGCATTTGACTTGGGTATTGTAATTGTTGCATTGCCCTGTTATATCTTTGTTTTTTTCCCTAACAAAGTGGTATCAGAGCCCTAAGTTGGCAAAAATTTGGTTTATGCAGACGTGGAGGTTAACATGAGTAGAATGATTAGTTTGAATGGCAGTAATTGGCAATTATGGAAAGGAAAAATGGAGGATCTTCTTTATTGTAAAAAGTATCATGCTCATAATCGGGGTGAATTAGCAAAGCCAGTGGATACAAAGAAAGAAGATTGAGATTTGTTGAATATGCAGGTTGTTGGGTACAGACACCAATGGGTGGATGATAGTGTTTACCACCACATATCTAATGAGACTTCAGCCCACTCTCTTTGGAAGAAATTAGAGAAGCTGTATGAGAGAAAAATAGCTGCAAATAAAGCTTTCCTGCTGAGGAAGCTTGTGAACCTAAAGTACAAAGAGGGGACTCAAATTGCAAAGCACTTGAATGAGATACAGAGCATTGTTAATCAGCTTTCTTCCATGAAATTTATTCTTGATGATGAGTTGCAGGCCTTGTTATTACTCAGTTCTTTGTCAGACAATTGCAAGACACTTGTAGTTTCTCTAAGCAACTCAGCCTCAGATAGGATTGTTTCCATAAGTATGGTTAAGAGCAGCCTATTAAATGAAGAAACAAGAAGGAAAGCCTTGGGTTCTTCATGTACACAATTAGAGGCTCTTGTTACAGAGCAGCGAGGTAGAAGTCAGAGTAAGGTTCACAATAATCGTGGGAAGTCAAGGAGCAAGTCCAAGAACAAGAAGGACATTCAGTACTATCATTGTAAGAAGATGGGCCACATGAAAAAGGATTGCAAAAAATGGAAGAAGGAATAATCTAAAGAAAAAGGAGACAAAAAGGCAGAAAACCAAGAAACTGTTGTAGCCACTTTTGAAGACATACTTGTTACTTGTGATGAAGATGTTGTCAACTTCACATGTCATGATTCTAGTTGGGTGGTTGACAGCGTTGCCTCTATCCATGTTACCACTTGGAGGGATTTCTTTTCATCTTACACAACAGGTGACTTTGGTAGTGTGAAGATTGGAAATGATGGTGTCTAAAGTTGTTGGCAAGGGTGATGTTTGTCTAGAGAACAATATTGGCAGCAAGTTGCTACTTAAGGATGTGAGACATGTTCCAGACATCCGGATGAATTTAATTTCTACAGGCAAGCTTGATGATGAGGGTTACAGTAATCACTTTGGTGATGGGAAGTGGAAGCTCACAAGAGGCTCTATGGTGGTGGCCAGAGGAAAGATCCGACGGAATATGATCCGATGTCGGTCTAGCCAAGGCTGCATGAGTTGCATTTGGAAACTTCTCTTCCCATTCTCCTGAAATAAGAAACCTATCAAGGCGTGAGAGAGTAGGGGACTCTCTGCCATTAACCCATGTGAAAGACGCTAATAAGCGCTAAAAAGTACGCATTTAAACCCCTTAAGCTTGAATGTTCTAAGACCTTATTCTATCTTATTTTCTCGTTTTAGTCTAATTTCGTATTATTTCCCTTTTCAGGCACTTATCCCCAAAATAAGTCAATTCAGCTGAATTAGCGCATTAAAAAAAGCAATCTCAACCTTAGTGGAAGAAAGGTGCAAAGTGGAAGCAAAGTAGTGAAGAAGTCTTCTATGATCGATCGTACCCAAGCTCCGATCGATCACATTGTGATCGATCTAACCATGCCATGATGGATTGAGCCTCTTGTCCTTATTCTCAGAAAAATATCTTGTTCGATCGATCCAACCTTTCCTTCGATCGATTGAACCCTTTTGATCTTATCTCCACCTACCACTTTTGTCCTTTTACCAAAAATATCTCAGCCTTGTAATTATCCCAAAATTGCGCTGCCAAGGTTCAATCAATCCGAGCAACCTTATGATCGATCGAACTGCCTCAAGTTGCGTGAAAAACAAAGTTCTAGCAAAATTAAATGTGTGCTTGTGATGTAATCATTTGGAGGTCCTAGTGCACGAGGTCTGACCATTGGGTGTGACATTTGAGCTACCTATATAAAGATTTTGGCTATTTTGAGTAAAGGAGGTTGGTTAGTTAGAGAGGCTTGGCTAGAGATTAGGGAGAAAAAATATACAATTTGGGAAAGTTCTTCCACTCATTTAGGATTTCTACCAAGAACACAAAAGGAGGAGGAGGATTTCTACCACAGAGATAGCCCTTGAGGGTTGGATGACAACATCAATGAGTGGCTAAACTATCTTCTTGGGGCTAGAGATAGCCCTAAGCATGCCTCCTAGACTTTGATGATTTGTAATTAATGGGGATTTGTGTTGTAATTCTTATCTTGCCATCTTTTATATATATGAATCTTGTTTTTACAATGATTTGTAAAGTTAAATACTTCCAATTGATCATTTAATTCTATCCATATGTCTATATATGCTAGAATGAATATTCATGTATTTTTCTCTAGGTTTTATGACATTGATGCATGTCTATGTGTGTTGATAGTATGAATCTAATGATGGTCAAGGCATGGTGCTTAAATGGGTCACTCTTGTAGTTTATTTGATGGTTTATACTTATTTCTTAATGGATTATGCCACCTTCTTAGTTTAATTAGTTTAATTTTCATGTCACTAGCATAGTTGTAGTTTAATTGCTTTACTTTCTTAGATAGGTGGATAATCCATTCTTGTTGTTTAATGTTCCATACTTATGAATGCAAGTGGTATATTTCTTTAACTTGTTGAGTGTAAATTAATTGTGGGCTTATGGAAGGATTGATGGCTTAATTTGATATGTTGTGCTATTCACTAGATTGACTAGACAATATATGCTTACTTGGCCATCCATGCTTGATAATTCAATTAATGGCACACACTTTCATTAACAACACATAATCCCCCTAATCCATCAAATATTGAATGTCTAGGAAGGTAATGCTTAGTAGTGAACTCTATAACCTAAGACTCCTCTCCATAGTTGTCAAAGGCGCCGGAGGCGCGCGCCTGAGGTGCAAGGCGCCTCAGGCGCCATCTCAGCGCCTCTAGAACCTTAAGGCGCATGGGTTGCAAAAGGCGAGCGCCTTTTCTCTACAGGCGCAAGGCTAAAGGCGATATAAAGGCGCGCCTGATGGAAGTTGTAATATTTTAACTTTTGTTTGTTTATTGACTTTATTAATTTGTTTTATTATTTTATTGTTTCTATTTTATTAGTTTTATAACACATTGTTACCACATTAAAAAAACAAAAAACAAAAGAAGAACAAACACCAAAACAAAGTCGGAGACAGAGGTCACAGAGGCGACGACTTGGACAACAGTTACTCTCAGTCTCGGATCTGTCATCTGTGTCGGATCTGCTGGATCTACGCCGTCGGCGACACCGCGACTCTGCCGGTACGTTCTCTCTCTTCTTCTTCTCTCTCTTCTTCTTCTCTTCTTCTTCTCTCCTCTTCCTTCTCTTCTTCTTCTCTCCTTCTCTTCTCGGATCTGTGATCTGTCTCAGTTTTTTTTTTTTTTTTTTTTTTTTTTTTCTTTTCTTCTCTCGACCGACTGTAGAGTCGAGTTTGGCAGTTTTTTCTTTTTTTATTATTATTCTTTTTTTTCTCTATTTTTTTATTTTATTTTTTTTCTTGAGTAGCTATTAAGGTACAGAGAAGAATTATAAAACCATCAGGAATTCTATATGTATATATATAGTTTTGATTTATAAATTTCAAGGTTAACAAGGTGAATAAAATTATTTAATAACTAAATCGAACCATATCATAATTCATAGCACTGAAGTATCAAGTTAGTTGTTGGTATATAATTGACATAAACAAGAAAGTTGGAACTTTAAAGAGGGAAGTAGATTGGTTAAACCTTTTTGTAAAGAACCTCGTCATTCAGTTACCCCAACAGATTGATTCTAACCTTTATTTTGGGCAAGTGACAATCATTTCATATGCCACTTTCTCAAAAGATCAAGAATTCAAAATGCGATTATCAATTACTCTGTTCAAAGAAACTTTTTGTAAAATAACAGTTGCTAAACTTGCTATTTTTTTTTTTTTTTTGGATTGTTGTAGCCTGTATGTGACAGATAGAATGTAATTCTTTTTCTTGGTTACGGGTTACCCAAAAAAAAAAAAAAGAATTATTGAAATCAGAAGGTATTTAATTGATTTTCTTGTAAAATTTGCAGAGGAATACAAAGCTTCTAATCTATACAAAATTTACATAACACCAAAATACCAAATACAGAGAGATAGACTGATAGAGAGAAGAAGTTGTCCAGTTAACAACTAACACCAAATTGAAGTCAAATTTATTAACATCAAACTTAAGTTACTTAACACTGAAATACTGAATCCATTAAAATTAGCTCCAAACCGATCTATCAGCTCTCTCCACGTAGAGAGTGACTGTGAGTCTGTGACGGATCTATTTCCCAATTTGAGCCAACACATTCTGCAGTTACTTTGCTTAATCACAATTACAGCCAAATTGTATGCCTGTATTTGTTCCATTGAATCATTCTAACATGTTAAAATGAAATAATTAGTGAAGTGTGTACTCTAAAGTCTAAATTATAAAAGACAATCGCAAATTGTAAATAGCAACTGTTTACTGTTATATTATTTTCATATAATATAATTAGGTTCTATTATTGAAAGTATGTTTAGTTGTTATAGTTATAGAATGAATCATGGTGCTTATAGTTATAGAAAATTAGATTGATTTGCAGCTTACATAATTTCTATTGAACTTGATTGTAGTTTGAACTTTAAAAGATGCCTAGTGAAGGTTCAAGAAATGATCCGGCATGGAATTACTCACATTTGGAGAATCCGAAAGATACAAATGCCGTCACTTGTAACTTCTGTGCAAAAGTTACAAAAGGAGGTATTTATCGGGCTAAGCAACACTTAGCTGGAGGATATAGAAATGTGAGTGCATGCACAAGATGCCCATCTAGTGTTAGAGAAGAAATCAAAGAGTACATGAGTAAGAAAAAGGAAGAAAAAGAACAAATGAATTTGTTACCTAGTGATGAGATTAATTTCATTGATGGAGAGGATGAGGATGATGTCATGGAAGTTAGCAATCGGGGAAAAAGGGTAGCTAGTGCAGGCAGTGCTAGTGTCAATTCCTCAAAGATGCAAAAGCAAAAGGGACCGATTGATTTATATTTCACTCCCAGACCGGAAATTGTGGTACAAAAAAGAAAGGAAGGGGGAAAACAAACAGCCATTAATGATGCATGCAAGAAAGAGTTGAGAGGAAGAGCGTGTGCTGCTTTTGCAAGGTGGATGTATGGTGCAGGAATTGCATTCAATGCTGTTAAGTATGATAGCTTTGCCGAGGTTGTTGAAGCAATTGGACAATATGGTCCTGGCATGAAACCACCTAGTTATCATGAGGTGAGAGTTCTTTTGCTTAGGAAGGAATTGGATAATACCAATGCTTTGATGAATGACCATAGGGAGGAGTGGTCAAAATTTGGATGCTCATTAATGGCAGATGGGTGGACAGACAAGAGAGGGAGAACATTGCTTAATTTCCTAGTAAATAGTCCAAGGGGAACCATGTTTATTGAGTCGATAGATACTTCTTCTTTTTCAAAGGATGGTGACAAGACGTTTGACTTACTTAATAAATTTGTGAACCGCATTGGAGTAGCAAATGTCATCCAAGTCGTCACAGATAGTGAGTCAAGCAATAAGTATGCCGGTAAGAATGTTCAATGTTTATAACTTTTAGAGTTTACATTCTTTACAAATATATAATTTAAATCAACTTTGATTTACTCATTCTTTTTATATCATTTTTTCTTTTTTCCGTTTGGTTTCAAATAGGGAGGATGTTAAAGAAATAACACCCACATTTGTATTGGACCCCATGTGCTGCTCATTGCTTAGACTTGATGTTGGAAGATATTGGGAAAATACCGTCCATCTCTAGAACAATGCAAAGGGCAGTGGAGTTGAATAGTTATATTTATATGCGACCAAAGTTGTTGAACATTATGAGGAACTTTACTCACAAAAAGGAGTTGCTTAGGCCTGCTAAGACTCGATTTGCTACATGTTTCATCACATTATCAAGTATTCACAAGCAAAAGAATAACTTGAGAAAGATGTTTACTTCAGAAGAATGGAATCGTAGTAAATGGGCGAAAGAGGAAGCCGGTAAAAGAGTTGCTTCTTATGTTTTGATGCCTTCCTTTTGGAACAACATTGTCTTTATCCTTAAGGTTTCCGGTCCTCTTATTCCGGTTTTGAGATTAGTTGATGGCGAGAGAAAGCCTCCCATGGGATACATTTATGCGGCTATGGATAGGGCTAAAGAAGCCATTGCAAAATCATTTAGGGGAGTAGAAGATAAATACTCAGATATTTTTGAAATAATTGATAAGAGGTGGAATGTTTAACTTCATCGCCCTTTGCATGCAGCAGGTTATTATTTGAACCCAGAATACTTTTATTCAAATTCGAAAATTGAAGAAGATGAAGAGATTGCAAAGGTTTTGTATGCATGCATTGCAAGGTTAGTCCCGGATGTCAAAGACCAAGACAAAATTACTAAGGAGCTGTCCTTATATTCTAAAGCTGAGGGCCTCTTTGGTAATCCCTTTGCTATTAGACAGAGAAGTACACGAGGACCAGGTAAAGTGGTAAAGTATATTAAGTTAGTATAGCTAAGTGTTAAAATTATTTTGACAATAGAGTCGATAGAAAGATGAAGCTAAAGTTGCTAAACATCATTATTAATTTTTTTTTTTAATAGCTAATTGGTGGGAAACTTATGGCAAGTCAACAAAACTTCTCCAAAAGTTTGCTATAAAGGTTTTAAGCCTTACTTGCAGCTCTTCTGGTTGTGAACGAAATTGGAGCGTGTTTGAGCATGTAAGTATATACTATTTAGTATTTACTAACTAGGTTTGTAATTTAATTGTTGAAAATTAAAATTTTAATTTTTTATACTTACTAGTTAAAGTTGAATTTATTGCAGCTTCATAACAAGAAAAGAAATAGGCTCGCTCAAACAACGTTGAATGATTTAGTGTTCATCAAATATAATAGAGCATTGAGGCGTCGATATAATATGCGTGACACTCTTGATCCCATTTTACTCGATGACATTGATGAGAGCAACGAGTGGTTGACGGGGAGGATGGATGATTCTGATGCAGAACATGATCTAGTCTATGAAGATGATTCCTTGACATGGGGTGATGTTGCTAATTTTGCTGGTATTGGAGAGGCAAGCAGGCCGCAACGGTCTACTAGATCAAAATCTAGTTCTAGTTCACGGTTACCAACAAAGGGAGCAGAAAGTCCTTCAGTTCGACTTGTGGATGAGGATGAGGATGATTCAGATGAGATAGAAGAGGATCCTGAGAATTATGAATCATTTAGTGACGATCAAAATGATGTTATGCTTATTGATGACGAGGATGATATTTAGATTCATTGGTGTTGTCTTCTTAGGAAGAATGATGTTTATGTTTGTTTTAGTTTTATCTTATACTTCTCCTTAGTTGACTTTTGCATCTTTATGTTAATATGTTTAATTATTCACTGTTTTGAACTCAAGTACTTGATTTACTTGGTTTTGGCATCTTTATGTTGAATATTTAACTTAAGTAATTCATTTAGTTGACTTTTACATCTTTCTATATACTATTGCATGATTTGCATCTTTAATACTTTATTGGGTGGGTTTTGTTTTTTTTTTTTTTCCAACGTGCGCCTTGCTTCATTCGGGCGCGCGCCTCGCCTTGCGCCTTGCGCCTCAGGCTCCAGGAGGCATTTGCGCTTTTATGCGCCTTGAGCCTTTAACAACTATGCTCCTCTCTCATATTCCCTATACCTTATTTGTTTTAGTTGTTTTACATTACATTTATTTAGTCTAAATTGTAGAATAATTCAACCAACAAACTATCTTTTGATCATTCGACCTACTAATCCATCAAATTGATTCCAAAGTACTGTTCATTTCCCTTGGGATGATCCCTACTCACTTTAGCTACATTAATAGTTAGTAGTGGTAGTGACATTCTATAAGTTCAAACTTGGCCACACTACACACTTAATTTGGGTGAACACGACGGCACACACCAAGTTTTGGCGCCGTTGCTGGGGAATTGGCAACGCCGTATTTTGAAAGCAATTAGGAATTAGTACTCTTTTGATCGTGTCTTTATTTTATTTTATTTTGGTTACTTATTATGTTTGTTCTTAATTGACTAGGTACATTGAGCAAGGGAAGTGAAACAAAAGGGAAATTCTAAAGCAAGGAGCAAGCTAACCAAGGCAAAAGCATTAAAAGCTAAAAATAAAAAAATAAAAAAAAATTTGCAAAGCAAAGCAAGGCAAAAATTGAAAATAAATTGAAGTTGCTTAAGGACCCTTTGTGAGCTTTTCTAACTCTCTCCCTAGTTAAATCGTCGGCCTGCGTGGTAGCAAGTTTTTAATTTCTTAGATAAATCGTGAGCCCGCGTGAAGGTAAAAATTTATTTTTCTTGCATATTGTTGAAAGCATGGGAGTATGGGAGCAATATATGTGGAGGCGAAGTGATTGTTATTTGCTACGTGCTTGTTGCTAGTTGTTGTTTTAATTGTGCATGCATGGTCGTAGGTCGTTAAATCCTACTCTTGTCCTGCTTAATTTTCATCTTGAATCGGTTGTTCGTAATCCTAGGGAAAGGGGTAAGTCTAGTAACTTCATTTCATCAATTGAGGAACAAAATGAGGACTATGTGGAGGACCTTGGTCACATCGACCAACAAGGCATTCTTTACCCTAATGTGAATCAACATCATGACAACATTCAAGTACCATTAGGCATGCCAAGACCTTTCATTCCACAACAACAAGGCCAAGTTCCATTGGGAATGCTTCGGCCAATTTTTGTTCCACCTCCACCTCCAGTTGTTCAAGTAAATCATGGTGCTCGTGTCAAGCCACTGGTTATGAACCCCCCCTCTTTGCTTTAAGAGATCATTATGTGCCAAATGAGTATAATGCACCAACATGCATTCAATTACCTCCATTTAGAGCACACCATTATGAGATTAAACCACAAACAATTCAAATGCTTCCCAATTACCATAGGCTACCAAGTGAAGAACCTTATAAGCATTTGGATGAGTTTCTTGAAGTGTGTTCCACCGTGAAATACACTGACATGCCAGAAGAGGTTTTGAGGTTAAAACTCTTCCCTTTCACCCTTAAAGATAAAGCAAAATACTGGTTTAACAATTTGAGGCCTTTTTCGATAACTTATTGGGCAGAGATGCAACAAGAATTCTTGAAAAAGTACTACCCAGTATCAAAGACCAATTCGATGAGAACTTCCATTCGTGAATTCTCACAAGGGGATGGGGAATTGTTTCATGAGGCATGGGAGAGATTGAACGACTTGCTTAGGAAGTGTCCACACCATGACATTCCTAAATGGCAATTGGTTCAATTTTTCTTTGAAAGTTTGTCGAATAATTTTAAAGGAATGATTAATGCTTCTATGGGTAGTT